ATCTATCCATTATGCATGCGCATGTTATTAAAACTTCTATTGCTATTTTTATTTGGCATCTTATAATCACTGTGTTTAGTTCCTATTTGTATTATTTTCGCAAAACCAGGAGCCAGATTTTTTTAGTCTAAACCACTCTCCATAATAAAGTAATTGAGAAACCCTTCTGCAATGCTTTTGATTTTAATAAAATCACGTGATCCTTAATTATCCCATTAACAAGTAATGCACATCGTATCAAACTTATCAAAAAATTCAAAAACGATCAAAAACATTCTTTGGTAAATAAATTCTATAATTCAATATTCAATTAGCAAATATACTCTGGGATATATAAGCTTTTTATAAATTATCTGAAGTCTAGAATAAAATGAGATGCTTTTAAATAATGTTTAAATCGCCTTATTAAATTTTAAAATAAAAATAAGTTTGAAGAATTTTTACATTAATTTGCATTGATTGAGATTAAAAAAATAAATTTGATGTTGTGTTTATGTCGCTTATTTTTTCTGTAACACATTTAAACTTGTTATATCCTTCTTATTATGATGTCCCATCAGCAGGTTGTTTCTTGTTAATGTGTATTTATTACTTTACAACATAATAATTTAGATTGTTGCGGAACTTCGTAGTGGATTTGATTCAGGTGCCCTTATGCAATCTGAGGATAGAAAGAAGGCTCTACGTAATTTGCATGCCCTTTTGGAAGAGAATGAAGTCCAATTGGTAGCGGCACTATATGAAGACCTTAAAAAGGTAATGCCTATGATTTTAATATTTATTATACTTATTTACTATATAAAACATAATAATTTTTTTAGCCTAGACAAGAATCACTTGGTTGCGAAGTATTCATCGCCAAGTATGAGATTTCAGAGGCAATAAAAAACTTGGACTATTGGATTCAAGATAGCAAGGTATTTTATATATTTCTATTATTTAAAATAAGTTACCTCCTAAGTGGATCAAATACGGTTTTTCTTTATTTCTTTAATGCGAATTATATTTTGTTTATTTAACTTTAGCTCTAGCTCACTCGATCCTAATCGTAGGGCACTTTTAATGTTATAGGGGCCTTTGCACATATAGCCCAACATTATTTTCAATGCGCCTTGGAGAATATAGGGTAATTAACTTGGACAGTGATTCTCAGTACAATTGTCTAATCGTGGATGGCCATAATTGCATTCGGTGCAGGATAAGTTTTTTGCAGCGGACCTTACCAAAAAC